GAGTGAAAATAACATCAGAAAATGAACAAAAAAGCCTCCTGGGTTTTTTTTGTGAAGCATGGAAGATACGCCAAAAACGGCTCTCAGCCCCCCCCGGCTGGTGGGGAAAGGAGCCTGGGGTGCCCCCGGCCTGCTGAAGTCACTTTGCTGGTGAGAAAATGAGAGCATGAACAAGAAGGCACTTGCTGAAAGCCTCCACACACCACAGGAGGTGTGATCTCCTGGCCAGCACTGTCATTAGCTGGGGACCCTTGGAGCAGAGGCTGGAGCTGGGAGAGGACCTCCCCACCAGGCAGCCCACCGCAGTCCAGCACGGCAAGCGCCCTGCTGTGCCCTGGGGCTGCCCTGGAGCATGGCACCCACCTCGCCAGGGCGGATCTTGATGTAGAAGTTGCTCCTCTTGTAGGAAATTTTGAGGATCTTGGGCCAGGCGAAGCGGTTGATCCTCAGCCGGTCCCTGTAGATGAGGAGGCCGTTGGCGCAGACGCCCAGCATGATGTCGATGCCCTCCGAGTCCTGGAGGAGGCAAGAGGGGCAGGAGAGCACTGCTCAGCTGCCCTGCGAGATCCAGCCTGGCCAGCAGTGCCACACGCCCTCCTGCTCAGTGCTCTGCTCTGGGGGATCAGCTGACAGAGGTCACTGGATGAGGTTGTATCTCTGGAGGGCATCTGGTCCAGCGCAGGACCGCCCAGGGCCAGCTGCCCAGGACTGTGTCCTTGCTGAACCTTCACCGTGGGAGGAAGAGGCTGGGCAGGGAGGGGTGTGCAAGCAGCAGGGCAGGAGGGGGTGGCACTGGCCATCGCTCTGGCAGCCCCACGGCCCCCTACCTTGGCGTGGTGCAGGTCCACCCCATACATGGAGAGCTTCTTGGCGTTCTCTAGAAAGTGGATCTCCGCTTCCCCGGGGGTCATTCCCCTGCAGGGAGACAGAGAAGGGGACACGTGGCTGGGGCCCCAGCAAGCGTGGGCCAGCTCTCTGGTTCCTTCCTCACCACCGGCCCCTCCTCTCCCGGGACTCACCGGTAGGTCTTGTGCAGCTCCATGATACGTTCCTCCAGCTCCCGGGTCTGGTTGGGGGCGAAGTGGAGCTCGCTGACGTAGTTGCCCACGTGCTCCTCGGCATCGTAGTCGCCCAGCTCGGCCTGCACAGCGTAGGAGCCCAGCAGGGCGTGGGTGACAAAGGAGCAGGGCAGGCGCCCCGTGATGATGTCTGCGCGGAGCTGCAGGCACAGGTAGTACCTGCAGGAGGGGCAGAGGGTGAGAGAGGGGCAGGCCAGGCTCCCTGGGGAGCCACTGCGTGCACCCCACTTCACGCTGCTCTCCGTGGGCTCTGCCTCCTCCCGCGGCCACCGCCCTGGCCCCACTCTGCAGGATTTAGACATGCAGCAGAAGGGCAGTGGACCCCCCAGCACCCCGGTCCTGCCTGAGCCCTGCCCCTCCACACACCCCCAGACAGGGCACCGGGCGCTGCCCCG